ATGAAAGAGCAAGTTCTATCTAGAATAAGGCAGGAGAGAATTATAAGAAGAGAGAATGTAGAGAAATTCTTAATAGTGAAATTTTTCTTCCTTCCTTTAATTGGGCTCTTGAGGGTTTAATGTATTTTATTGATCTTTCAAAAGATTTTATAGATTTATTTACCCTTTCTCATTCTTTTTGTTTTTTATGTCATTATTTTGAGACATTTCATTTTTGAAGTATTTTAAGGGGGAGGGGCTGTTCTATGTTGCTGTTTCTATAAAGATATGCAGTAGTCCTTTATCTTTAACCCTACTTAGTATTGAGAATATTTGCAATTATATATTTTCTCAGATTACAGCTGTTGCTGGACCTTAGGATCCCATATGATAGAGCCTCTTCCTTTTTGCTTTCTATGCATTATATTTTAGTTCAGTTCAATAAAAATTTTACTTCATTTTTAATTAAACACTTAATATTTGATACATAGTCATGACAGGAAATTCAAAGGCATCAAGGAGAAAGTAATGTTTCCATCCCAGTCTTTCAGCTACCCTCCCCAATATTTTATTCTAAAAGATTCATTCTGTGTATATACAAGAGTATGTCAGTCTCTCTGCGTGTATCTTCATGATTCAAATAGGAGCCCATTATACTTCCTGTGGTGTTAATTATTTTACTTAATGATATGACTGGAAGTGTCCAGATTCTTTTTAAGATTTTCAGTGTTTTTTAATAGATGTGCAAAGGATTATTTAAGTAATTTTCTTCCTTTATGGGCATTCGGGCTATTATTTTTATTACAGCCATAATTATCCAGGTAGACATAATTCCCACGTGAGTTAGTACCTATAGATATTTGGATTGGTAGCCATGGTATTACTGGGTCAAGATCATATCTACCTTTATTTGGATAGATATTACTAAATATGTATTCACCATGGTCACAACATTTTGATTACAAAATTATTTTTATATCAACATATGAAAGAGACTATTTTTCAACTCCCTTGCTAACATATTTTCAAACATTTTGCTATTTATTGCTTTGAGTTCAGTATATTTTTAAGTTTAATCTCCTTTTTTACATGAGTTTAGGTATCTTTTTATATATTTCAGAACATTTGGACTTCATTTTTTGGGAATTGACTGTTCCTATACATTTACTATTTTTCTCTTAAGTTGTTGGACTTTTTCTTTCAATTGTCAATATTTTATATAAGAAAATTAGCTCTTTCATGTTATGTCAATCACCAGTATTTTTCACTTTGATGTTTAACTTTTGACTTTATATATACCGTCATGAAAAAAGTATACTTTATATATACTTTTTTTTGCCAAATAGTTTTTTATTATAGAAAAAAATCCATACTTTTTTTATGGTTTGAGATTTGTGTCATGCTTTTACAAGCCTTCCAAAAATATTATTGGGCTGACCAAAAAGTCTTTTTAGTTTTTTCATAAGATGGCTCTAGCAGTGCTTAGCCGTCTTTAACTTCATTTGAAAAATTTTGTTAGATTGTATTGTGATAGCCATCATACCAGCATGCATTTAAAAAACACTTATCAAAATTGGTGGATTTTTGTGTAGCCATTTTAATATTGGAAGATGGAAGAAAATAAACAGCATTTTCAGAATATTATGCTTTATTATTTTGAGAGAGGTAAAAATGCAGCTGAAAGGCAGAAAAAGATGTGTGCGGTGTATGAAGAAGGTGCTGCGACTGATCGAAAGTGTCCAAAGTGGTTTTGCAACATTTCGTGCTGGACACTTCCTGCTGGAGGATGCTGCATGGCCAGGTGGACCAGCTGAAGCTGACAGCGATCAAATTGAGACATTAATTGAAAACATTCAACGCTATACCATTCGGGAGATAGCCACCATACTCAAGATACCCATATGAAGCACCGAAAATCATTAGCAGCAGCTTAGTTATGTCAGTTACTTTTGTGTTTGGGTTCCATATAAATTGAGTGAAAAAAGCCTTTTTGACTACATTTCTGAATGCAATTCTCTACTTAAACACAAGGGAAATATTTCATTTTAAAAACAAATTGTGATGGGTAATGAAAAGTGGATGCTTTACAATAATGTGGAATAAAAGAGATCGTGGGGCAAGTAAAATGAGCCACCATCAACCAACGGCCAGTTTTCATAAAAAAAAAAATAGGTGATGTGTATATGGTGGGATTGGAAGGGAGTCCTTCTGGAAAACCAAACAATTCGTTCCAATGGGTACTGCTCCTAATTAGACCACTCGAGTGAAAGCAGCACTCGACAAAAAGTGTCCAGAATTAATGAACATAATTTTCCATCTGGATAATGCAATACTCCATGTTTCTTTGATGACCAGGCAAATACTGTTCCAGTTTGGCTGGGAAGTTCTGATTCATCCACCACATTCACCAGACATTGTACCTTTTGGGTTTCTATTTATCTCAGTCTTTACAAATTTCTCTTAATGGAAAAAATTTCAATTCTCTGGAAGACTGCAAAAGGCACCTGGAATGGTTTTTTGCTTGAAAAGATAAAATGTTTTGGGAAGATGGAATTATGAAGTTGCCTCAAAGATGGCAGAACATGGTGGAACAAAATGGTGAATATGTTATATAATAAAGTTATTAGTGAAGATGAAAAACGTCTTTTATTTTTACTTAAAAACTGAATGAAACTTTTGGTCAACCCAATATTATCTCACATTTTCTTCTAGCAATTCTTTATTTTTTAACTTTTAAATATTTGATACACTTTACTTCTAAGTGTTATGAAAGTTGGTATAAGGATTAGTCTCTTGCCCTGGCTGGTGTGGCTCAGGGCATTGAGCACTGACCTGAGAATCAAAGGGTTGCCTGTTTGATTCCTGGTCAGGGCACTTGCCTGGGTTGCAGGCCAGGTCTCCAGTCCAGGGTGTGCAAAAGGCAACCACACACTGATGTTCCTCTCCCTCTCTTTCTCCCTCCCTTCCCTTCTCTGAAAATAAATAAATTAAAATCTTTTAAAAAAAAGAATTAATCTGTTGTTTAAAATAACCATAAAGAAGCTCACTCTCCTTCCTGGAAGCACATCTTCACCTCTCCCTTGCCCCTCTCCGTCCCCCACAGGCATGCATCTCCTAAACTCTGATGGGCCCCAGGAGACCGGCAGCCAGGGAGCAATAGGCAGCCACAGCTTGTCCCCAAGGCCTCATTCCTCTGACTTCTCAGCGAGCTGCACTAAAGCCCTCCTAGGCTCTCCTATTGCTTCTTCTATCCTAGGTCCTTCCTTGTTTCACTGTCCAGAGCCTTAATAAGCATTCTCAACAATAAATAAATAAATAAATAAATAAATAAATAAATGTAAAAAAAAGTAAAAATAACCATAAAGCCTGGACAAAGTATACAGGGAGAGAGCAAAAGTAAGTTTACAGTTGTGAGCGCGTGAAGCAGAGTTTTTCTTGCATTATTTCTTTATTAATTATTGTATTATTTATTTATTATTTGTATTACTGTTGTCTTCTTACTGTTGTTATTTCATATTTGTACTTATGATTTATCTTTTAGCTAATAATGGCTTATAATTTAACCTACTTTTGCCAACCCTTCCCTGTATTTAAAGTAACTGTTTTCAGGCATTGGGAAACAACCAATATAAGGTTATAATATTTGCAAACAAAAAATAACTCAATAGGAACCTCATGTTTATCTGGTTTTTCTCTCTGAGGGCATTCTCCAAACATAGCTAGAGAAACAAAATCTAAACAAAGAATGTCAGTTTTCTGGAAAAAGGACATATCTTCGTTTATCGATGTTAAGGTATCTGGTATTTAGAACAAGGATCCGAAAGAGGAAGAGCTGCAAAAAAGAGCTCCCAAAAGCCTATAAATTTTTTCCCATGGGTCCACGGTCAGTTCCTAAGCTGCACGTGTCAAGGCAAGATTCTGGCAGGACCTTGGACTTACTCAGAGGCTGAAGACCCGCACAGAGGTCTCAAAAAGTGCGTAGTGCTGAGGAGACAGAGTTGTGGTTGGGGCCCAGCCAAAATGGAGAGATGTCAGAGAACAGTGTGGGGCCTTACCAAGCAGAACATAAAAATCTAGAGAAAATGTATGTATTTGGTTCTACGAAACCTTAAAACTAACTTATGGCTAAAGAAATATCATAGACATAGCCAAAGAAAGAATAATATGCTGGGAAAATATATTTCTGGGATATGTGGCAGAGTCAGTCACCTTAATTTACAAAGAATTTATACAAATCAGTAAGAGAAACAACCCAGGAGAATAATGTGCAGAAGATATAAAGAGGTTATTTGCTGAAAAGAAAATGGTCATTAATTGTATGAAAAGCTAGTGTCCCACTCATAAGTGAAGTAATTGAGGTAAAAGCAAAAATAAATGGCCACTTTCCACTCATCCTTTTGAGAAGATGGAGAAGCTTAACTGACAAGCACATGTAAGCACAGTAAATGTCAGGGAACAGTAAATTGGTACAATCCTTCTGGAACTCAAATTTCATATGGATAGTTTGACTGGAAGACTTTAAAAGGACTCTTCCATCTCTGAGATATTACAGTTCCTTATATGTATGATATTAGCTCCCATTAATAATGCAATCTCCAAAAAAATAGTCAGTTAAAAGTGTCTTTCATATTACAAATTAGATGTACTCATGAAATAACTCATACAGCATACATTTTAACACATGTAACTTTATCTTTTTTTAACTTTTTTTATAATATGGGAGTAAACTATTTTGAAAAGTAATTTAAATTCAATGCTAATTAGGCTAAGTATTGTGAAATAATACTAAAGTTAAGATTCATTTAAGAAGTAATAGTTGGCTAATCAATACATAATATTAATATGCCCAAATTATAACTTATTGATTCATTATGGAATTGAAAATATTTCAGTATAACATTTTTAACATCCTTTATTTAATTCTTTTGTAGGACACAAAGACATCTTTGTGAAAGTTAGGAAAACAAAATAAAAATTGCCAATTTGTTTTTATATTCTTTTTAAAATGGAAAGTAACTTACCCTGGTGCATAGTTGCATATGAAAATTGCTGCATATCGAATACGTCCAATTCTTGAACATGGAGTAACAGCACAACCAATTTTGTAAGACTTGTCCCAAACAAGCTAAAATAAATTTTTCAAGGAAAACATGAAATTTAATTCTAAACATTTACTCTGCTATATTATAAACAATACTATATTCAATTCACATAGAACCTTTGACGACACAAATTGAAGAAATGTGAACTATTCTTCATCTGGGAGAGGTAGAGAATTATCATGGTTTTAGGGAAACATTTGTAACACCGTATTTAGAGTAACACTTTAAAAGATTCTGACAATCAGTATCCTTAGGTTAAAAGAGTTTGAGAAATGCTGATCCAGAATAATCGAGCCAAAGAAAGGCCCACCTGCTGAATCAGTTTGCATCTTCTCATTGGATCTGAGCTCTAGAGGAAGATGGAAAGAGAAAAGTTTTCTAAGAATAAAAGTTGTAAACAAAGGGGAGAAAAAGAGAGATATTAAGATTATACAAGGGAAGGAAAAGTGATAACAAGAGTAGAGAGGAATTGAATACTATTAGCACTTTTTTTTGTTGTTGAAGAAATTCCATTATAAAATAGAGTCTTAACCTTTCATTTAAAAGTGAATAAAGAGACTTGTTCTTATAAAAGGAAAAACAGGTCTTAAATTGGAGTAATGATATGAGGATAATTAAAGATATTCCAGAAATCGTCTGTATGACTTTAATATTTCTAATAGTCACAAGTGACAAAAAAGTACGTTTTGTTGTGTTCACCTCTGCGGGAGAGAGGGGAACCATTTCTGTTTTATTTTTATTTTTATTCCAAGACTCATAGGTTTTAAAAATGGGATTCTTAAAGAAATAGAGTGATGCATGAAAAGAATAGAGAATAGAATGTCTGCAACAGTTAAATTAGAGTTAAGTCAAATGCAGGAAACAAAAATGTCTAAGATCCTAGGATTAAGGAGTCCAAAATACACAGTAGTAGGTCAGGGAGCAGACTGTCAGTTTACAGAGAGTGTGAAGTGACATTAAGGAGACTAGTTTTGATATGAGTAAGGCAATGGAAAACCACTATAACTTTCCAGAATAACATTAAACAGATCAAACATTTTTGCAACATGATTCATTTGATATGAGTTCAACATGAAAAATTTCAAAGACGTAAAGTTGTACATAAAATATGATATTAGAGTCCATTGAGATAAAATAATATTTTAAATAAGGTGGGAAGTTCACCCTGATACAAATATTTATTGAAGACCTAACTAATGTCAGGTTGTTGTGTTGAGAATAATTATATAACAAGATCTTTGCTCTTAGTATAGAATCACATGTAGATGATTATTAAGCAATGTGATGTGTGAAATAACAAGTGTATGCATAGGAAATAACAAGTGGTTCAATATTTTTTTACTATAAAGTGTAAGGGTGCAGTATCAAGTGTAAGGGTAGATTGTTAGATATAAAGTAGGGAAATAATACTATTAATTTGCATTTAAATGTTTTAACCCATCAGTTATATTGTAATATATGTACTGATCTGTGCAAAAAACATGAAGTCTTTCACTTACAGTATGTTTAAAGCCAATCATTTAAAAATAAATTTTATTTTCCAGTTTCTTCCTTTTCCAGTGTTTATTACGTTAAAAAAAACCTTTCACTTTTGGTTATGAAGATTAGATTTCCTATATTCAAAAGAATGTTTTCATTGTAGGGGATAATGAGGGGAAAATGGGAAGGGTTTTCAGGAATATGTATAAAGGACACATGGACAAAACCATGATGGGGTGGGATCAGGGGAAGGAGGTGGGGAGGGCTGGGGTGGGGGGTAGTGGTGGGGGGAGATGGAGAAAACTGTACTTGAACAATAATAAAAAAAGAATGTTTTAATTGTATAGTTCACATAACAGATGAAATTATAGACCTTTTGAAGACCTAGGACTAATAAGAATTTGATTCTATTAGAAGTAATAATTTTACCATTTCAATTTACTTGTAAAACTGAAACAATCAATAAAAACTTACCAGTAAAGCAATTAAGAAATCCATTGAATTAATAATATAAAAATTAGGATACCTGTAGATAGTTAGAACAGTTACCGGAACAACTGCCATTTTCAAAATTGTACTTTTTCCTCTCTGCATACCAACTTCTGATAGCAATGCTTGCAGTAAATTTATTCTCAGGGCCGACCCACATGTTTTCACCAATGCCATTAAATGTAGGATGGACCATTTGTAGTTCTTCCAAATAAATGTTGTGTTCAAACACACACTTTTTCCCCCACGCTCTAGCGGTCCGTGACAAAGCTACATCCCACGTCTGAAAAAAAAAAGCAAAAAGTAAAGACAACAGAATAGTAGCAATAGGTGTTTCGGGTTTGTTTGCTCTACATTATTTTTCTGGAGTTCTTATAGTAGGATTTATGGAAAACAATCCTAGTTTTGTGCATATGGGTCTTATTTGTGGAATTTCTGTGAGGCAGTTTTTTAAAGATAATCATAAATGGCACAACTATTTCCTGAGACAAAGGATTATGCATATATTTGTCATTGAAAAGTCAGTGTGTTAGATGATACAAATGACTGTGATACTCTTGCATGTAGTCTGTTCAGAACTCTATAATACTGTATAATACTCATGTAGTCTCTTCAGAATGTATATTTTAATCTCGTGACTTGTATTCATAGTATAATAAAATATTCATCTAAGAACTATTTATTGAGCACTGATTTTATGCAAAATATTGTGTTGTGAGGAATATGAAGTATAAATTTAGTGCTCTAGCTGCTTACTGTAAGGTAATATTCTGAGATATTTTATATATGTGCATATATATTTACGCACACACACATATATGCACATACACATAATAGATGGTAGTTTATAATGTTGTAAAAGAGGAACATAAAGTTTTATAATGTTCCCAGAAACATGAGAAAATTTCATTAGATGCTGCTCCCTGGCCACTCTCTGGAAATATCCACTGATGTGTGCTTTTGTTATTATTTAGAGCCTCATTAAATTCATTGTTCAGGACAAGAACAAAAAGCACACACACAGAAAAATCAACAAAATAGTAGTAAAACCAAAATGCTAAGTATATATGTTACAGTATACCTAAAACTAATACTAAAGTTTCCTTAGGGTTTTTTCTGAGTTAATTTCATAGATTATACATATATGAGGGGGACTCAAGAAAATCCCTGGAATCTAGTCATAAAAAATTGTATATTTATTCTTACCTATTTAAACTTCAGTCAATTTCTAAGTACTTTACATTTGATGCAATACACCTATCGAGGTGTTTTTTCCACTGCTCCAGTTTTTTAACTTCTTGATTTTGATACCTTGTAGTGCTTCTACTGGTTTTTTGCCCCTACCTCTTCAATGTAGGCAAATCATTTCCCTTCGTGGACTTCTTTCATGGGGAAACAAAAAAAGTTGCTCAGGGCAAGACTGGGTGAATAGGGAGTGGGGGCATGAGGGGTCATGCTGTTTTTGGTCAGTGTAGTGTGGGCAGGTGCACTTGTAAACCACCCGTCATGAAATGGGCAAAGGTGTTGAAAGTCTCAAAAAAAATTCACTGAAGCCCGACACAGCCTGTCACAATGCTTACTGGTACACTAACACAGATGGGTCCCTAGAACACTTACCTAGGTGAGGAGCCAGTGTGACAAGGTGCCTGCCCTCCAGAAGATAATTTCGGTTTTTGGGGTCCCCCATCATATACAATATAGAAAGTATGGTATAGAAAATATACAGATCAGGCCTTTAGAATACTCTCCCCTACTACTCAGGTAAAGGTAATTGTTGTCTTAAAAAAATGGCTGTTTTAAATTTTTCTCCTTGCACTATTGACTGGAAACTTACAGTTTTCATGTACAGAGATTGTTCCATATTAGCACAACTAGCTCTACTTAACTTTTGCAATCTCTACATAGTATTCCATAGTATGGATAGCATATAATAAGTGTTATCATGACACTCCTAATGACCTTTTAGATTATGTCTCATTGGCAAACAATGTTCTATGAACCATTCTTTTACTGCCTTACTTTGCATATTAGTTATTCATCACATGCTCACTATGTACCAGTCACTATTCTGTTTTTATGCATCATTTCACCTGATGTCCAGAATAACCCTATGAGGTATGCATTATTATTATTTTTTGTTTCACAAAGAAAGTAACTAATATCAAACAAGTAGTTCACCTGTAGTCACTTATAGCCAATTGTGGAGCCTAAATTTAAACCCAGGAAGCCTAACTCTCAACTCCAACCATGTATGCATTTGACTTCATTGTTTTCTATGACAATATGTAAAATAACTTATATTTACAAATTTCTTTGCTCACCCTGAAATAAAATTACAATTGAAAACATTTCAATTACAAATAAAAAATATATAATTTTTTCAACTATATAACACAGTGTTTTCAACTATAGTTAATACCTTCTTACCAACCTCTTCCTATTTCTCCCACTCCCAGCTCCTGGAAACTTTCTTTTCTACTGTTTCTAAGAGTCAGGCTTTTAAAAACATTTTTGTTTTAGATTCTACATATAAGTGATACCATGTAGCTTTTGTCTTTGTCTGGCTTATTTAACTTGACATAATGATCTGAAGGTATATTCAGGTTGTTGTAAACGGCAGGATTTTTTTCCTGCCTGAATAATATTCATCGTATATATACACATCGTCTTTATCCATTGATGGATAAAGAACAATGATGGATGATGCTTAGATTGTTTCTCCATCTTGGCTATTGTAAGTAATACTTCAATGAACATGGCAGTAATCTCTCTGATATCCTGTTTTTAATTTTCCTTGGATATGCACCCAGAAGTTCAATTGCTGAATCATATGACAGTTCTGTTTTTAATTTGGAAGAACAGTCATGTTTTGTTTTGGGTGGAAATACTATGCTCAGAAACTGAGTTTGTTTTGTTAGTATTTAACACAGGTTCACTGTGGGAATTATAATAATTCCATAAGCCAACAGCATATACAATGTCTCTCAATAAGCCAGTAAAAAATAACATACTTTAAAGCAATGATAGCTTAATTACACTATTGTTCCAGGCAAGGGGAGATGATGGGAATAAAGTCCAAATTTACTTGAGGTGCACTTTTTATAAGTTGGTACTCAGGAGACACAGCTAAGCAACCCAGTGTCCAGCTGCCAGTGCAAAAATGAAAAAGTCATTTGCTGGTAGAGCGTGCAGCTTGGGTACAATGGCACTGGTGTTGACGGGCAAGCTGATCTTCGCGGGGCCACTGCTCAGCCTTGGCCACTGCTAGGAAAAGAGTAGCCTTTACTGCAGTCACAGCCAATGCCCCAAAGGTCTTCAAAGAGCTATTTATTTCAGCAAAGAGTGGCCTTGCTCAGGCTGAGACTCTATTATTTGTAGCCTAAATGCCCCCTTCCTAGTTGTTCTTTCAGATGTTATCGATAAGCTCCAACAGTGCACTTCATCAGCTTACCTCCTAAGTGCTTAGCAAAAAACAAATGAAGTGATGACATCCTGACACATCTTACCTCATCCTTATGTCAAAACAACTTTACTCTTAGAATAACTTCATTTTTGTTATGTACAAGTGGATTTGAAATAATATCAAACCAATACATGGCGTATTTTCCGTAGTGACTATACCAGTCTACATTGCTCCCAATAGTGCACTTTTTCTCCATAGAAATAGTTCCTTTTTCTCCATCTCCTCATCAAAATTTGCTATCGCTTGTCTTTTAGATGATGGCCATCCTAATACCTGTGAGGTGACATCTCATTGCAGTTTTGACCTGCAACTTTAAAAATGGAAATTCTGATACATGCTACAACATAGGTGAACCTTGAAAACCTTATTGCTAAGTGAAATAGGCCAGTCACAAAGAGAAACACTACATGATTCCTACATGAAGTACTTCAAGCAGTCAAATTCATAGAGACAAAAGGCAGAATGGTGGTAGCTGGGAACTGGGGGAAGGAGGGATTGGGGAGCTAGTGTCTAACGGGACAGAGCTGCACCTGGGGAAGAGGAAAATGTTCAGCAGATGAATGGCCGTGATGGTGGCACAGCAATGTAACTGTGCTTCCGCCACAGGACTCTACACTAAAAGGTGGTTAGAGGGGTAAACTTTATGTTATGCAGTTTACACCAATAATGAAGACTAGGTTTTTTAAGTTTAATAAGAAGGTAGAAAAAATACTAGAGGACAACAACAGCAGGAGGCTGAATTTGTGTTGCAAAATCTTTTTATATTTGGAAGGAGGTTATAGATGTTAATTAATGCTGGATTTTGTAAACTTATATGCATATTAAAATGTTAAGAATAACCAATAAAAATGAAAATAAATGTATGCTTTTTAAATCTCTCAAGGAAAGGTTTGAAGAGACCATACTGCTACAATAAATTATGCTATTTACAGTTAATATTACATCCTAGTGAAATCAATGGAAAAATACACACCCACTTTTAGAAAGAGCACAAGGGTATAGGTTTAGGTTGGGGCTTTAAATTGTTTCCAATATTCCTATTAAAATATTCATATATTAAGATATATATTGCAAGTGCACAAGTGTACTTGCTCTCTATACTTTTACCCTTTATATACTTTCTATATATTACTCTCTACTTTTCCTTATGTTTGAAGTGTAATATTTAGAGATTAGAGACACATAACTTATAAAATGTTGTACTATAAGCTATTGTGTGTTTATTAACTATCAGAAAGACTAATCTTCAAACTTAGAAAAAACAGAATTACTCATAAAGGGGGTTGTACAGAGCTTAAACTCTCAAATATCCCCAAATATTCTGATTAATTCAAAACATAAAAATTGGCTTGGAAATAACTATCTTCAGCAACAGTGCTAAATCCTAGTATATTTCTATTAGAAAATTTATAAACAGAAGTGGAAACACTGACAATACAAAAGACAAAGATAATGAACAAGACAGAACCAAAATATGATCAATCAAAATAGCATTTTAAAGTTAACATTAACATGAAGTACCATTTTATAATTTATCAGTTTACCAAATGATTGAAAAACCCATGCCACTGTGGATATGATAAAAACAGACCATTTATACACTGCTGGTATTTGCTTATTTCGGCACAATCCTTTAGACTAGCAGTCACTATGTGTCATATAAATTTAAAAAGACATTCTTTATTTGAGCCATTTTTGGAATTTGACCTTAGAAACTAATCCGGAAGGAGCAAAGACTCAGGTCTACAGAGATATCTTTGCAATATTGTTTATAATGTTCATTGGAAGCTCCTAATTGCCTGATAATAGTTATCTCAGTACATTTTGCAGTCATTTTTAATGACAATCACGAAGACTCGGTAGCAACACGGCAATAGTTGATGAGACGCTAAATAGAAACGGACAGGGGGCGGGGCGGGGGGTGAGGGGGACGGCAGAGGATGGGAAAGAAGCAAGAAGCTTTTCAGGGATGGCAAAATCTGGCTTGGACAAGGGTGCTGCAACCGAAGCCCTCCCTCGGGAGCACAGTTTAGAGTGGATACCAAAAAGCCAATAATCAGGGTAAGTAATATTTTTAAAAAGCAAAATTAATGTGAAAACAGCCATGATGAAAAAAAATAAAGTTAAAAAAAAGATCTTTTCACTTGTACCATCCTGAGATTGACTCATTTGCATTTCTAATTCAAGCCCAAAGGTCCTGTTTAAGTTCATACTGTCTTCACCAATGACATTTTTGCATTGAATATATATATATACCAGTAAATTTTGCACGTCTGGTGAGTGCCTCTACTCACCCCAGTCCCAGCCCGTGCAAAATCTTGGTAATAAGCGACTTAGAGAGACAGTGGTTTTTATTTCTCGAGTGGATAAACTCTACATATACATATTTTTAAACCCAAGCTAAAAGTGCCGTTGCCCGCGATCTTTAAGCCTCAGGGCAGAGGCCCGCACTTTGGGAGGCCCAGCGGGTGCGTCCGGACACCCGCGGTCCGAGAGGTTCGGGCAAACGGCCTCCGGGCCTCACCATGAAGCGCAAGTTAGCCCCTCGGGGCAGGGCGTTGCCTCGGAGCTCATTGTGCAGGTTCACGTACTCGTTGATGAAGCTCACGTCCTCCTCGTGCGGCAAAAAAGTCTCGCTCGGGCCAGAAGCCAGCAGTAGTAGCCAGAACTCACAGAGCCACAGCTTCAAATCGCCCCCTGGCGTCTTGGGCAGCGATCGGAGGTACCAGGCCGGTGCGAAGGAACTTGGAGCCTCCATGGTCCACCGGTCGCGGACAGGCCAGTGCACACGCGCCCGCCCGCCCGGTGACCCGCAGGGAAATCCGCCGGGCTGTGCCCGTCGGTCTGGCCCCGCCCCGCCGAGACGGGAGGGGAAAGAGTGAGGGCAGAAGTGGTCTATATCCCGGGGAAAGGTGATCGTACCTGCTGGCCCGTGAAACTTAAGGGAGGCTTGAGTCAAATGACTGCAGAGACTTCAGTAAACTAATGTAGTTGGTTATTGTCCAGGTGGATTTCTGATACCTAATGATGAGTCATCATTTAAGCCCTCTTTACAGTAAATGCCAAATGCTGAATAATTAACATGTCTGAGGAACCTTCTATAATTATGCAAAGATAGATGATCATTCTTCCGTGATTTTGTTGAATATAATTATTTTTTCATCCTTACCTGTTGGGAACTTAATGCAGGATGCGTTCTTTATTTTCATCGTGGAATGAAAAATATCTTTCATTCAGTGATTGAGTGTTTGTGGGAGATCACAAAAATAAATGGAAGATTGGAAAGCTCAACATTAGGGATTAAACTAGAAATCGTCATATTCTCATAAACTTGAAATATTTACATGTTTTCTCTCATCAGCACTTTATAGACAGCCTGGAATATCAATAGTAATCTTCTCTGACAAATTGCGCAGTGCACATTAGATAAGAACTTATTTTTGTTTTCATTTCTTCTTTCAGACAAAACTGACTAGTGTTCTAGCAGATTTTAGTCTGTGCTTTTTACCTCCAAACATTTTGCTTTCAAAAGCTTGCTGTGAAGAGTATAAATTCTAGGCACAAAAATAAAAGCACATATTTGTTTGGGGGGGTCCCCATTTATATGTAACATATTGTGTTTGATAGAATTAAGGAGATATTCAAAATCATTGACACAAGGATAGAATTTTACCACAAAGAAAGTATTGTTAACCGCTTGGCCAAAATGTCTAAAAAGAAATGTGCCTTTAAAAATTATCTATGGTATACACAATTGAAAGCAATATACCTCATAAGATGGTTTGGTTCAAGCGTTTTAGTCATTTAGTAAATATTTATTACTAGGCAACGGGGTTGAGAAAGACCAGTGGATGAGACATAGACCCTGCTCCAAGTAGCTTACAGTTAAGAGAACTAGAAAATTGTTAACTGTTATACCATGTGAAAAATAAAAAGCCTTTCTGGAACATGCGACATCAAGAAAGCAAGTAACACAGGTAGGTGAAATAGTGCATTCTGAATAAAAGTGGGAAAGGCTAAGAGAGCTTTACTATGACCAGAGCCTGCTTTAGGGGTGAAGATGGCCAGTGCTGAGACGCAATTCCTTTATTATGTCGATACTGTTCTTAGATTATGAAAATTGCTCTAGTAAAGCATGAGATAAACAGAATAATGCAATCTTAAATTGGAAAGAAATTTTAGACACTTTTGCTAGTCCCATGTAGTAGACATATTCTCAGACACATCCTTAATAGGTGATCATTATTTCCTCTGCTTAAAACATCACACTGACAATGAAGTCACTCACCATCTCTCAGGCAGGCCATTTCAATGCTACACACCTCACTTGACAAGTATTTATTTAAGGACCCTCTTTGCATCAGAGCTACAAATGCTGGACAAGCTAGATACTTCTATCCAGATGAGGCTTTTAGTTAAAGGTGTTCTGATTATAATCATCAAGCAATTATAATACAAAGTAGTAAGTGCTAAATTTATTTCAAAAATCCTTGCTATGGGCCAGGTGCTATTTTATTTTATTGTAAAATATACAGAATGAAATTTACCATTTAAACCACATTTATTATAAAATTAACTGGCAGTTACATTCACAGTGCTGTATAATCATCACCACTCCTGTGCTGTTTTAAATGCTTGGAAAATATGAACTCATTTAAAGAACAAAACCCTTAAGAAACAGATATTATTATGTCCATTTCACAGATGGAAAAACTAAAAAAAAAAGTGGAACTGTTAATGGGGGAGACCTGAGTCAGGGACTCACCATCCACCTCTGTTTTTGTCTCACTAGCAAGACATGAATTCAAAAGAAAGACAAACTCATATAGTGGAAATGAGACAGCAAGTTTCCTTATGAAACACACATGAGCACAAAGCTGCAAGCAGGTACCCAGCTGGTCTGAATGCCCTTCATACAGAGGAAATGAAGTTGTTCTGTACACTTGAGCTGAGGCTACAAATGGGTGCTCAGCTATATCAGTGTTCAGGGCTTATATACTTTACTCAATTTCCAGGTTCCCCCTCCTTCACCTTCTAAACCTTGGGAATAATGTATAGCTACAAAAGCTTTCTTTCTCAGCTCGTAAAGACTCTTTGTATTAGTGAAATTGCTACAGGGTTTCCCTTCCCAGCAAAGAGTCTCCAGGACTCCCCTCCTCCTGTATTAACTCCCACTTGTGATGTTTGGAACCCGTGGCAGTCTTACTGGAACCCGTTTGGAACCCGTGGCAGTCCTGAGCAGGCTCAGGACTGCTGGGTCAGTGGGTGAGACATGTCTCTCCTCCTCACTGCCTTAGTTTACTACCTATCCTACCAACAGAAAGATGAACTTACTTTATTAAAGTATAATGTGCCATTCATGCACACTTAAGAAAAATTTAAAATTACTAAGAAAATGTACAGCATCATTAGAAAAATAAATGAAGGAGGCGAACAGAGACAAAAAAAAAGACAAAATAATATGGTGAAAGGCAGTCTCAGGAGCTACCCAACAGTTTGCCTCCATCCCAAAGTCAAAACCATAAAATCAAATATAAATCTGGAAATATTTACATGAAATATTGACCCCTAAATTATCATTACTCTAATATTCTTGAGCTCAATATTTATTCAGTAAGGCAATATGTATGCAGCAATTCCTAGAAATCTTCCCTAAAAGAACAGTATTCTTGTTACCAAACAAGAGGTCCCTCCCAAGGACAGAATACTAATATCTACTGGGCTCTTCTGTCCACTGTCAATTGGAAAGACATCTCTCAATGCCAGAGATTTGTGAAAAGGGAAACAAAATGTTTATTTAATGCTATTCAGGCCTAATGCCTCTGATACAGGGTGCAGACAGGGGGGCCCCCAAAAAAGATTTAGAAAGGTGTCCAGAATTCAAAGTGTATAGAAATATTGGAGAGACATATAAGATGTCCTCACCGCCCCCCCCCCAGGGGGAAGGGATGAATGGAGCCAGGCCATTGAGAGCTATTTTGCATAGCAACAGTTTTGGAGCTAACCTCTGGAGGAATGGTTATTTAACATATCTATAACCTTTAACTGGTTTCATAGATATGTTAAATAGCAGTGGCCAAGTTTGAGGCCAGAGAGAAGGAACTAGCAGAGACTCAGAGTGTAACTAGGGTCGGCGCTCCTGAGAAGGGAGAAGGTGGTGGCAGGGACTCAAGATGGAACTAGGAGCTGCCCTCCTGAGTGGCAGGGACTCAAGATAGGAACTAAGGGCTGCTCTCCGGAGAGAGAAGGGCTTGGACTCAGAATGTAACTAGGGGCTGCGCTCCTGAGTGAGCTGGGACTCAAGATGGGATCTATGAGCTGCTCTCCTGAGTGAGGAGGGCTTGGACTCAGGATGTAACTAAGGGCTGCGCCCCTGAGTGGAAGGGCCGCTGTGTGGGAGCTTGGAAAAGACTGGCTCCAGGACATGAAGGGTCCCTGCTTGGGCAGATGAGGGAGAGCCACGCGGTTTCAGCAGAGTGAGGACCCCCTGTTGGTGGGGTGAAAGAGGGAGCCACGTGGTTTTGGCGGAGTGTGGACCCCCTCTTTCCCAGGTGAAAGGGAAAAACCACGCAGCTTTGCCAGAATGGAGATCCCTGCAGCCAGGTGAAGAAGACAGCCACATGCTTTTGGTGGAGTGCGGACTCCTGCAGCTTTGGTAGAAGAGGCCCACGCGGCTTTGGGGTGCCCCCTTTGGCCGCGGGGCCTGAAAAGCAACAGAGACTTTGACTGGAACTGGGTACAAAGGACTCTTGCCAGTGGACTATGAGAGGGTACCACAGTACTTTGGATTAACTCGAGATCCTGCATGGTGACACAGCTGACGGTGCCAGCGGCCTGCAACACAGACGTGTGCTCTTTTCCTGATTTACGGTACCCGGAGTTGGGACAGTGGGAGAAGGGAGCGCTGTGTGGGTGTAGGTGTACAACCTAAAGGACTTTGATATTTTAGTGGTGGCATTAGGCCTGAATAGCATTAAATAAACATTTTGTTTCCTTTTCACAAATCTCTGGCATTAAGAGATGTGTTTCCAATTGGCGGCGGACAGAAGGGCCCAGTAGATTTTAGTATTTTGGTTTTTGGGAGGGGCCCCTGTTGTACAGCAGTTTTGGGCATCCCTAGGTGGGCCAAATATTGTATTGCCCCTCCCTCGGACGACCTCCTCTTGTTCGGTAACACCTCCACTAAAATATCAAAGTCCTTTAGGGTATACACCTACACCCACACAGTTCTCCCTTCTCCCACTGTCCCAACTCCGGGTGCTGTAAATCAGGCAAAGAGCACACGTCTGTGTTTCAGGCCGCTGGTATGGTCAGCTGTGTCAGGCAGGATCTCTCTCGAGTTAATCCAAAGTACTGTGGTACCCTCTCATGGTCCACTGGCAAGAGTTCTTCATACCCAGTTCCAGTCAAAGTCTCTCCTACTTTCCAGGCCACGTGGCCAAAGGCGGCACCCCAAAGCTGTGTGGGCCTCTTTTACCAAAGCTGCAGGGGTTCACACTCCACCAAAAGCATGTGGCTTTCTTCTTCACCTGTCCGCAGGGGTCTCCATTCTAGCAAAGCTGCGTGGTTTTCCCTTTCACCTGGGAAAGAGGGGGTCTGCACTCTGCCAAAACCACATGGGCTCCCTCTTTCACCTCACCAAGAGGGGGTCTTAACTCAGACCATGTGGCTCTCTTCTACCATGGCTGCAGAGGTCCTCACTCTGCCTCAAACCGAGTGGCTCTCTCTTCACCTGGCCAAGCGGGGACCCTTCATTTCCCGGAGCCAGTCTTTTCCAAGC